AAATCAGAGTTTGCAGCCTGAGAGGCGAATTTATACTCTCTGGCCACGCCCGTTTCGGCGGGCTCTGACGCAATGAGAGCAGGTCAGACTCTCATTGGCCGAGAGTTCATTCGTGTCTCCTCATAGGCTTAAGCAGTTCCCTGTGAGCGAGCCAATGAGCTGCTAGCTAGCCTGCTCATGGTCTGCTGCAGCTGAACTGCGTTGACAATGGATACAAAATTATAGGATAATTTTTGGCTTCAATTTCTCAGAAAAGATGAATCTTTCCCGCAGCGTAAGCTAGCTTACGCAATACGAGAGAACCTCTCGTAAGAGAACTCAAATGAGTGAGAGAATCGTGCCAAAACTCTAAGCGCAGAAATCGGAACTGTACAAAGCAGGTTATTTCGGGAGCATTTACCCTACGCACACAAGTCATTTAGACAATTGCAACATTTTATTTTTTACGCATACAGATTGGTTTTACAATTGCAATCCGGTTTGCAGTTCTTTAAACTGTTGTTTTCGGTTGCAAATCACCTTTCACAGGCTTGCAATGCTTTTGGCCGCATTTGTGGTATCCAGCTGCAGACCCGCAGCACCACCAGTTTCAGAACCCCAGCGCCAGAACCGGGAGTAAGGGGCGGAGCTTACGTTCTAACACCAGCGCCAGGACCGGAAGTGAGGGGCGGAGCTTACGTTCTAAACCGAGTAACGCCACCTAACGTTTTGGAGCGTAATTTGCTTAGACACGAAACGGCATTTTTACACACGAAACGTCATACTTTATTCGTATTATAATGATACATTAAGGTATAGTACAATAAGCATTTTAAAACATTGATTTTGTGTAATATAATTCTATATAGTTATCCGTTTCATTGTATTATGAGAGTTACTTCCTGATCATGATGGTGAAAAATAATACTTGAAACTTATGGTCATTTTATATAAAATATACTTTATTTCACAAGAACATGTGCAGCATGCATTTTTCTTTATGTAAAATAATGTCAAAAATCTAAAAAGAGAGAGAAAATCCGGCATTGTTTTAAAAGAAACAATAAAAATGTACCGTACTTGTCTCTTTTACACGCCTGGTGTGGCTGCAGGTCTGGGTAAATAAAGGCCGGTCTCAAATAGAGGTCGGGTCTGTTTTTTAGTTTCAGGTTGTATTAAATCTTCTAAAACCCGTCAGATCGTGCGCTTTTTGGCGGCCGCCAAAGCAAATTTGTGTCCCGCCAAAGCCTATTTTGATCGGTGAGTGATGTAGAATAGAATGACTGCTGCGCATGACAGGGCAGAGCAGAGAGAGAGAGAGCCCTGGCTGCGCGCGCGCACTCTCACGTCTTCAAACAACACGAGCGCTGTCTTGCTCTTTATTTGTCACATCACATACCAGTTATAGTTCATACAAGGAGCAGTGACTCACTGTGTAATAAAAACATACCCTAAATATTATTTAAAAGGTGCAACAATTTTAAATATTTTCAAATACTTGCAAAAATAACCATGCTTGTGTCATTGTAAATAATTCCGCCCCTCCCTCACTTCCGGTTCTGGCGCTGGGGTTCTGGCACTGGGGTTCTGAAACTGGTGGTGCTGCGGGTCTGCAGCTGGATATATCTCCATTTGTGCGCAAAAACCGTGCCAAAAGTGTAAGCGCGGAAAAATGGAAGTCAGAAGAATACAGATCCTATTTATTTTGCGTTAGCATGAAGCTGCAGTTTCACAATACATGTATTACACTTACGAAAACCAGCAAAATGTTGCGGATTTTTATTCTTACACTTGAAACACGATTTACACCTTTACAAATCTTCTCTTGCACACGCAAATTTAATTTATGCTTGCAATCTTATGTACACTTTCACAAATCTTACCCTGCGCATGCGATTCTTTCTGTCATCATTTTACCTTCATAATAGTGCTGCTTGATTAAGATCGGCTCGCGCTGCATTGGTCCAAACAACCGGCCCGTCAGCCATACAAAAACGCTATATAACGAGTAGTTCAGTTTCGTTCAGCTTACATTACAATTGCAAATTTCAAGTTGGGCAATGTTGTGGTCACGCCAGCTTCTCTTGACTAAATAAATTATGAGCGCGCTTGCCACGCGTCTCCATTTCAAATAACGAAATTTTGGTCGGCAGGAAAAATGGTCCAACGATTTTTCGTTTTAAAAATGCGTACCGAAAGCCTCGTACCGAACGGTTCAATACGAATACGTGTATCGTTACACCCCTACGATGCATGGTGTTCACTATCAGGTTCAGTAGCAGTTTAGTTTCAAATTGTAAAAACCAAAACCACTAAGCCAACTCATCTTACACCTATGAGAGCTAAATTGTTGCGTTTATACCAACTGCATTACTAGAAATTAAATAATTATAAGTAATAATTACAGCAAGCTACAAATGCTGTTAATAAGAGATTGTTGCATTTTACCCATAATAACAATAATAATACTTTAATACCAGAAGTTAAACAAATGACAACAAAGAGAAAGGAAAAGTACAATGTATGAAAGCCTTTTTATTTGCAAATTAGTACAAAGGTTTTTTTTCCTGTGTTAAAAATAGAACAGAGCATTAGTTACATCCTCTACTGTCTGGTTACACTGTGTAGTAGTGTATTTGGGAAAGACAGAAGAGGGCAGAGCAGGCCCAAAAAAAAGACAGAGCAATATTTACACACAGTCTCTCTCTGCCCCCTCCCCATCTTAAGAAACAGTGCAACATTCAGGCATTTCACATCATTTTAAACATTCTCCACCCCATTTCTACTTCAGCAGCAGTAAGATACAGCAAGTCCAAGATCAGTATTTCACTTGAATACCGCACATATTGAATCATGTCTAGGAATGTGCTCCTCTAAAAAGGGAGAAAGAGCTTTAAAATGAACACAATGGAGCTTGGTGCTATTTCACTCTTCACAATATACTAAAATGGCTGCCATTGTATGTGGCAGCCACCCTGTCATTAAGAAAATGCTTTTCAGTATGGTCATAGAAATGATTATTGTCTTCTCTCATCACTCAGTTCTCATGTGGTTAATGCTTAATCTCATTATCTGATAACCTAAAAACAGGATGGTAAAAAAGATAAGTTCTAACCACTCTTATAAATAGATAAGAGCTGCTAGCCAAACAATTGTTCTTTAGTGATAACTTGCCACACATCATTTCCTCATGGTAAAAATGATTGCTTTTTGCTATGTCTCTCGTGTTTTAAAGGGGTCATATAATGCCATTTTTGTTCACGCTAATATGATTCTTTAGGGTCTAAATTAAAAGTTTGTAATATACTTTAATTAAAAATTCTCATTAGTATTGTAAGAAAACACTTATTTTACCTGGTCAAAAACAGCTCTGTTTTCAGCACGCCGTTTCAGTGCATATGACTTTAAATGATAATGAGCTTTGCTCACCCCGCCTATCTGTTCTGTGCATACACCATTTGTAACTCGATAACACAATAACCATAACGCGTTGTTCAGTATAAACGTGGGATTATGAATTATATTGAGAACGTCATACATAGAAAACATGCCGTAATGTACCCTGAGTGTAAACCTTAGACGCATTCATTGTGAAGCGTGCAGCTAGCGATTTGCAAAGATTAATATATTAATATAAAGTTTAATAAAACGTTACACTCACTTCAGTTGTTCTAGAGGTTCAGCAGGAACACGAATAGCTGGTACCAATCCTTTTTTCATGAGCAGCTTCTTAGCAAAACCAGCTCATACTGACCCTCCTTATAAAGCAGTCTGGTGAGAAATGATTCGCGCAAACATGAAAGCATTGACGTTGCTCGTGGGGAATATTCCCTTCGAAAACAAACTCAGCCACTGCGTCTTCAGCGGTTCGGATTTAGGAACATTAAAATGACTGTTGTGTTCGTTATTACACCCAAGAACAGAACACCCCAATCGCTTAGACGCCATTCTGCTCATAGACAGTGCTTCAGCATATCAACAATGACCGCGCCGGTCGGCGCAGACTATGATTGACAGCTAGCTCACAAGCGAGGGCGGGTCTGTGTTGAAACGCTCCTGTCAATCAACAATCGTGGGGAGGGCGTGCGAGCTTGTGACGTCACAGGCTCGAACGGCTCGATTTGAGGCAGGGGAAAACATATAAGGAGATTAAAACAAAACCACTGGATGGATTTTTATCATTATATGATGGTTGTGTACAGACACTGCCAACACACATTTCAGTACAATCAACTTGTAAAAGTGCATGTACCATTATATGACCCCTTTAACAAGATTTGAGCATCCTTGCTCTACACACAACAGCTGCACAATCTGTAAGACCAGTGGGTCTTTTGAAAGTTCAGTCATATCAATGCCACAAACCCATTGAAAAATGCACAAACATTAAAAAAACAAAGAAAAAACCCTCAACAAAACAAACGGGGAAAAAAAAGCACAATTGTTTTGACCAATGCTACTTCATGGTTTGAAGAGTGTAGTAAAAAAAAAAAATCTCATAAAATTTATTAACTAATATTTACATGTGTAAAACATGGCTAATAATTGACTGAGTCACATGCATTTCTGTTGACTTGCATGGAAATTCCCCACATAATCAGATGGAAATTGTTTTCCTGGTTGCCCTGAGCGACCAGAAATCTGGTTTCATTGGTTTAAGGGACTATAGTTGTCAAAAGAATAATCAAGGCTTTTGCCTTGATTTAATTGAAGAAAATCTACTTTTGACAAGAATAGGGATAAAGTTTATAAATATTATTTATTAATCTTTAAAACTTCAATTTGAATCATGATGCTTTAAAGTGCAGTAAAAACCACTTGAGACTCATTTGCATGGAAAATGGGGACACCTTTGGTATAATTTCTTACCAAATCATAAGCCAAAATGCAGAATGCAACAACAACAAAGAGTCAGCGGAATGCACATGCAGAAAAAAATTAAATTACGCATAGAAAATGAACCATGTTTAAATCTCTGCTACTGTCTAATAAAACTAAAGAAGTCTTTCAGTGCATTTTAATAATTCAATTTCAATTCCCAGGACACCAAATGTATGCATTTGTCCTGTCCCAGTACTAGAACATCCAAAATATATTGATATGGCTGTATTAAAAATAGGCCAAACCAATGCACACATTTGTGTGGGTTCTGCAGGGCTGGACTGGATACACTAATGTGTCGTCATACACAACGTACAGTAACAACTACTGGTCAACATAATCTCGGTGAAACCTGTAAACTGCTCACGGCTCTACAACACAAACACTTTTCAATACAGTAAAAATAAAAAAATATACACATCTAGTGTTAAAAAGCAGCCCTATCCATCACTTTGTCAGCACAGAAGGGAACCAAACATTAAATGTGTTCAACATCATCTGCTGCATTTAGATTAAAATGACTTTGGGTGATTCGTACTGACGGCTTAGTTAAAACACACCTGGAATACAGGTAGTAATGAACCGTTTTAAATATTCATTCAGGATTTAAGTCCAGGAAACAGATATGAGCATTTCTCTCATGTTTAATAAGGCAGGGCTGGAATGAGAACATCTCTTTTCTCTGGCTTGCTGCCCTAGGAAGGGAACGTAGACTACACTAAAACCAAAACGTCTGTCAGTAATCAATATACTGTAATCATAATATTATAGTATAAGTTAGTCAAAGCTTTTCTTGTATATTACAATTTATGACCACGTCTCCACTTTAACTCATCTCTAAGCCAAGTTTTATACAAATTGTTAGAAATTTCACTAATAAATAATTGATTTCAATATTAAAAAGAGATCCCAACCCCCAAACCCAGAGATTAATTTCAGACGTATACAGCATTCATATCTTGAAAACACAACCACTCACAGAAACATAGCATCCGGTTCAATGTTTCACCCCAAAATCAAAAGAAAATAAATTATACGTTGCAAAAAGAAAGTCTATTTATCAACATTATTTGTATTGTGAGATTGAGACAAATAAGCACACTCCCCCTCCTAAATTCTCTTTAATTTAATGTGAAGGGGAAAACAACAGACACAATTTTTTAAAACGTTGCATAAATTAAATTCAGTATAACAAATACTATCATAATGTAAATATACTTACAGCTGTACTGAAAATAAAGTACATTTTCTTTACAAATTACAATAGGGTGACAATATTTTTAGGCAGGTTTTTTAAATTGTCATTACGGTAAATTACGTAATGGTCCTAAAATAAAACCAAAAGAGTTATTTTTGGTTATGCAATTTCTATGCAGTTTTTAAGATGTTCAAGTTTTGCTCTTTAATCAAATCTCTGAGAATTCTTTTGATTATGGGGTGAAATACAACCTGAACATTTCTTAACAGCTTTCATAAGATTCAAACACAGTTGTACACAAAGACACACTCCTTTCAGCAGGAAAGATCTAAGACTTTTTCTACCCCGACGACCACCTTTTGTTCCTCCTCTCGCCCTGCAAACATATTATTGTGAACTCTCTTACCTCTAGCTGGCACACAGCTGAGAGTTCTAGGGCTGGGCAGACTGGCATTTTCACCATGAGCTTGTTACCACACACACACACACACACACACACCTTAAGGCAGGCCAAGTGAGCCACCTTTCGCTGTCAGCAGCTTTCGCACTACCCTCTTGTAATTCTGTCTGAATTCATACACAGAATATTCTGTATGATGTTCTACCAAAAGTACAAAATGCTCTGATGGAGCACCGGAGGCCTGTTGAACACCGTAGGATCAGGTTTTAAATGATATCCTGTTCAGATGTGGTAAAAAGTGTCCACTCCCTCCCTACTAAGTGTAGGGCGGTACACAAGAGGACACAAGAAACGCCATTCATGTCTGCAATGAACCTGCGGTGATACAGGTTAAAGGGCGAGTGCTTTTGTGCCAGCCAATCTGACATTTTTCTAAATCTGTGGGCTGGTGTTTGCGTGTGTGTATGTTCAGTCCAGCTTCTCCAGAACAGAGGGCACGTAGACTAGGCTGAGCTCATTACCAAAGTCACAGACTATGGCGGCATTGTCCAGAACCAGAAGCTGCCTGACGCTCTGACCTTCGCTACTCTGTCCCAAGTACACCGTCTGCAGCAGGTCTCCGTAGTTCAGGTCCCAAAATGACACGCAACCTTGTCCTCCTGTCACCAGCAGGCTTTCAGAGATCACCCCCAGACTGGCCCCACACCCCACCTCCTGAAACAGAGAGAGAAGAGAGAAATACATGAGATGTTGCTATTTTTATCTTTGTAATAATCATAATATGCCGATTTTGTTGACCAAATCATGCAGTCCTCACTCTCAAAATCACACACCTGTTGTATGGAGTACAGCTTTATGCCTGTGCTACGGTCCCAAATGCAAATGAGGTCATCCAACCCACTGCTAATGATACAGGAAGTTGTGCAAACCAATGAGGTGACATCACCACGGTGACCGTACACGTGGCTCACTCGGCTGCCTGTTAGGACGTCCCACACGCAGATGGCCCCGTCTTGGCCCCCACTGGCTAGAACCATGGTCTATAACACAGCACATTTTAGATGAACAAAAATATCTCTGTATGCAACATGCGATTTGCACGTTTAATTATTTGCGCAATTTAAGTTTCTGTGCATTTTATTTGCAAGAATCTATCTATCTATCTATCTATCTATCTATCTATCTATCTATCTATCTATCTATCTATCTATCTATCTATCTATCTATCTATCTATCTGTCTATCTATCTGTCTATCTATCTGTCTGTCTGTCTGTCTGTCTGTCTGTCTGTTCAGTTAATTCACAGTATTTGAAATGAGAGATATGAATGAATGGCAGTATTTGTGTATGTGTGTGATCTAGTGATGTGATTCTGACCTGGTCTATGTAGATGGCAGTTATACCACCTGAGTGGCCCTGCAGGGTGAAGAGGCAACAAGAATCCTCCAAACGATACACCTATAAAAGAAAAATACTAAATAAACACCAAACTAAAGCACGAGTTAACTGTAGGGCTGCACAAAATCTGTGCCCACAGGAAGCTCTGCTGAAGACTGAACAAATCATTCACAGAAGCACCACAGATCATCCTTACATGTTTACTAAACATGCTGTATCTAATAATGTTTTCAGTAACCAGAGCATTGTGTTCTCTGCTATATTTAACATGTTTTACCATTTTTAAAACCATTCCACAAACTGTTCTTTATGTAATGTGTGTGTCATGCGTCCCTTACTCTGACTGTATGGTCCTGGCTGCCGGTGACGACCCTGCCGGCGGCTGCTTTGAGCACAGTGATGGGTTTCTGGTGGGCACACTGCACTGAGCGGGTCAGCTGACAGCTGATCACATCCTCGCTGCTGTAACAGGGGGAGGGGGGCAGACTGCCTCGGCCTGGGGGTCCTGACACACAAAACCAGGTAAAATGTCTCTTCACGTTAGACCTTCACTTTCCCCTTTGAGTAACAGTTTATCTTCCTATTTTTAGGGTTTGAAGATTTAAAAAAAAAATATTTTATACAAATCACAAAGAAAAAAAAAAAAGTTTACCTGTAAAAAATTAGTACAAACAGAAAAATTTATCTTCACTATATAAAAAAAATCACCTCCAAGACTTTATCTGCGTGACAATTCCAGGCCTAGAAAGTACACTATATTCCCTCATTTTTCCATGTTTTACAAGACTGTGGGAACACTGTATTTTAATAAGCTTTTTTGAATATTTTGACAACTCACCGCGATATTGAAGCAACCCGAGAGGCTTGTTGATCTCCACAGTGAAAAAATCCAGTGAGCCATTTAAACGGGCCGCCACAATTCTGCAATTGAAAATATCCCCGTTACCAGGAAACCATGAGTTGAGTGGTTGTGTCTGTCTGTGAGCTTCAGGTTGTTGTGAACGCACCTGTTGTTAAGAAAAGCCAAGGCAGTGATTCCAGATAATCCATCTTCATTACAGCATCGTAATGATCCTTCTACCGCATCCCACAGCTGACAGGAAAAAGAGAAACAGGAAATGAGGAGGACAGGTTAATAACATTGATGGTTCAAGATGTTCTCCATATAAAAGCCCTCTCTTTCTCTCACCTCCAGTTTGCCGCTGCTGCGGCCCGTGGCAATGAGGTTGCCCCTTAGCTCCATGGCCCATACTGAGCTGTCCCAGTCGCCACTGCTCTGCGAGGGGAGCTCTGGTGGTAAGACAGGCTGGTCCCCAAGGCTACGTCGCCTTTGCTGAGAAGCTGGAGGAGAAAGGGGGAAGGCCAGTGTTGGCGAGGGCTCATGCTCCTGGTACGCTTTCTCCACCAGTCCCCCAAAGTCAAAGCCAGAGCTGCTGACCACAGCATGAGATGGGGGCAGAGTCCCAAAGTTAGTGTCGATGAGAGGGGTGAGGTCTGGCTGGTCCCCAAACAGTGCAGGGTGTGCAGGGGTGGTCCTCCTCCTTATTGGAAAAATATCTACATCTGGCCCTCCCATAGCTCCGCCTGGTTCCCGAAAGTCTGCTCCCAGGAAGCCGTCGGCCTCACAAGCACTTATGTGATCCCAGCCGTCACGATGCTCCCAACAACCACTGCTGCTGCTGCTCCTGCGCAGACTTACAGTAGATACACACACATAACATATACATTTTGTTTTACATGTAATATTATAAACAATAAATAATATTATACATATAAACATTATCCATATATAAACATAAAGGCCTGTCAGTGAGATTATTTTGAAGAAATTGATTCATGAAGAAAACGCATTCATTATGCATGCGTTTAAAACTGATCAAAAGTGACAGTAAAGACATGTATAATGTTTTAAATGAATTTTATTTCAAATAATGCTGTTCTTTTGAACTTTCTATTTATCAAAAGAATTTAAAGAAATAATGTATCACTGTTGCAAAAAAATATTAAAGCTGCAGTCCGTAGCTTTTTCCCTTTTTGTCGCCATCTCTGTTCGAAATCTGTAACTGCAGTGATTCGCGGAATTATCATCTTTACGTGGGTTGTAAATCGGCATGAAACAGCGCGGATGAACACAGTGTTTTGAGGCGAGTGCTGCTGTGTGGATACTGTCATTCAGAATCACAGATTCATTTTTGAAAGCTTGACCAACATAAGAATTTTCACCGGAAAATGTCTTCTGAACAAGTAAGTAACATCCATTTTTGTTCTGATCAACTAAGGGGGGAAAAGCATTCGACATGACAAGTGATCGTTAGATTTAATCAGCGCGATTTACAGCAACCGTGCAAATCATAGCCTACTTTGTTCTCAAATTGTTCATGTTAACAACATCAGCATTGCGTGACTAACGTTATTTAATGTGTTTTATGATTAACGTTACCTGTGTAGTTCAGAATTCATATTCTCCATAATAGCTAACGTTAAACGAGAAAGGCACAACAAAGGAAACTCCATAACTGTGTGAATTAAGAAAACGTACCGTTACACGATTGAACTATTGAAATGTCTTACTTGTTCAGCAGAAAAAGCTGTCTCTTCTTCCGTTTCGAACCCCTTCGGGAGTTCACGCACCTTTCAAAAGCCCCACCGATGTGTATCCTTGTGTTCGCATGAGACGGTTTCTTTCTCTTTCCACCTTAAATCCGAAGTACGAAGTCTTTTGGGTTTTATAACTGGTTAATCTCCAGTTGACACTGAGGATTGTTGTCTGGATCCGCCATAAGTTTAATTATGTAAAGTGCTGCGAGAAAAGCCTATACATCTAAACATCTCGTCACGCGCAGTATAGCCGGCTAGCCGAAACTCCTTTTTTATGTGTACAGGTGTGACGTAATGACGCAAAGACATGCTCGAATTTCCCGCGAAAACCCACCAGTACCACTGGAATTAAAATCATTATTACAAGCTAACCGTTTTGAATCTAGCTATGGCAAGCAGATAGTTTTGAACACTGGCTGAAGATGTTTTTTTTTTAATAATAATTTGGATTATTTTTAACTTAAAAAAAGTTACGGACAGCAGCTTTAAACAGCACTATTTTCCTCATTGACAATATTAAAAAATGTTTCCTGAGCACCAAATCAGCATATTTGAATGATTTCTGAAGGATCATGTGACACTGAAGACTGGAGTAATGATGCTTTGCACTACAGGAATAAATGACATTTTTAAATGGACTAAATCTATCTCTCTATCTATTGGTATCTATATTAGGGAAAAGTTTATGCATTTCCTTACCCATTGTTGGGTATAACAGTAAGACAGTCTCCTGTCTGTGCGTCCCACACACGGATCTGTCCC